TAAGCTTTTTATTTTTGAGATACTTACAGATTCACATGTAGTTGTAGGAAATAATACAGAAAGATAATGTGGGCTCTTTACCCAGTTTCCCCCAATGATAATATCTTACAAAACTGTTGATAGTCAAGGTACAGAACATTTCCATCACCACAAGGATTCCTTTTTTTTGTCCTTTAGTAGCCATATCTACTTCTTAACCCCTGGCAAACACTGATCTCTTCTCCATTACTATAATGTCAGTTCAAGAATGTTATATAAATGGAATAATATAGTACATAAATTTTGCGATTGGTTTAAAAAATAGAAAGAGATGCAAACCAGGAAACAGACTCTTAACTGTAGAGAACAAATTGAGGGTTACTAGAGGGGGGTGGGGGGGATGGGTTAAATGGGTGATGGGCATTAAGGAGGATACTTGTGATGAGCACTGGGTATTGTATGTAAGTGATGAATCACTAAATCCTACACCTAAAACTAATATTGTATGTTAACTAACTAGAATTAAAAAAAAAAAAAAAACATAATTCTCTAGAGAGTTATCCAGGGTGTTTTGTGTATGAGTAGTTACTCCTCTTTATTACTGAGTAGTATTCCATGGTGTTGATGTACACAGTTTGTGTAACTGTTGACCTGTCAAAGGACATCTGGGTTGATTTTAGTGTTTTTGTTTGGTTGGTGTTTTTGGATATGATACATAAACATTTGTATATAGGTTTTTGCTGTGAACATAGGTTTTCATTTCTCTGGGGTAAATGCCTAGGAGTGTAATTGCTGGATTGTATGGTAGTTGCATATTTAGTTTTTTTAAAGCCCTGCCAGTCTATTTTCCAGAGTAGTTGTGCCATTTTTCTTTACCACAAGCAGTATACAAGTCATCTAGTTTTTGGGCATCTTCACCAGACTTTGGTGTTATCACTATGTTTTTGTTTTAACCATTTTGATAGGAATGTAGAAGTACAGTCTCTGCAGAGGGCACTTGGCATTATCAATTAAAGTTACAAATACACATACTCTTTTGACATGGTAGTTGCACTTCTAGAAGTCAATTCTCCAACTGTACTAGTGCAGATGTGAAACGACTGTAAGAGCAAAGAGCAAATTTATATATATAT